ATATGCACAAACTTGTTTCAATTTGACAGTCTAATTAATTACTTTAATTTTTTTTCAATCGTGTTCTTAATTGCATTAATCAAGAAAGCATGGTTTGCAAAAGCAGTAGCTGAGAGATTTGGAAAACCTAAGACTAATTCTAATTCTAATTAATTTAGACTGTCAAATTGAAACAAGTTTGTGACATATATTTCACGTTGTTCACAGATCCTGATTTACCAAATTCGGGAAAATTTATGCGTCGTCAACGATACATCATACATAACCAAAGTTATAATTTGTCTTAAACGTAATGCGAAATAGAAATTTTATTTGAGAAAAATGGTTCTATTTTTTAATTAAATAAGTTAAAAATGTTAACTTGATGAAGAAAAAAACCTTTCAAACTTTCAGAACTTTCATTGTATTACAGTGTAAAATCATTCCAAGCATCATATTTATCATCAGGATATTTAGATATGGCAGTATTCAATAATTAATAGAACATTAAGTCCAAATCGCGTAGCTTCGAAATAGCCAGGCCAAGACCCAATCTATTCTCGTTCTCTTGCAGAGCCGAGAGGGCGCCAGTGCGTCTAACTAACAATGACTGTCGAAGTCATTGGTTTAACAAACCGAATTTAAAATTTTTTATCCACCTTGGACTCTCTTCAAAGCGAATAAATCTTTCGCCTTTTACTAAAGATTTCCGTGGAGAGGGTCAATATAAATAGGTCTTTGAAGAATTTTTCTGAAGCCTTAAATTTCTGTTTAGGGCTGTTAAGCTAATTAAGATTGTTTAATATTATTGCGCTAATGTGTCTAGTGGTGGCCAGTGTGCCCAGATTGGGCGATTTATCGCAAATTGGGCTACTTTTCAGATAGTTTTGCGACGAACATTTTGAGAAAGTCGCCAAGCGACTTTTGCGCGATATTTTACAATTTACACCTTAATGTTGGGCGATTTGAAACTGTCTGTTGTGAAAATGTCTGTATGAATATGTATGATTTATGCAAATATCTTTATATACAGTTTGTATACTTTTACAAAATAGATAATTCATATTCTACAGGTAAACATATATGTATATCTAATTTGCATTAAATTTTGGTGTAGTTTGCAACATACTATGTGATCTGTGTGGCCACATGCGTTTAATTTTTAGAGATAGAAAGAAAAATGGGCAAGTGAGAAAAATATTTAAGGCCACATAAAAGACCAAGACCAAGTATTATTTTGAAAGAACATTTTAAATTAAATAATTTAGAGTCTTCCGTGTATCCTTTATCGAATTCCATAATCAAACACATAAACTTTTCATTACACCTTAATTTTTTTAGATATATCTGAAGTAAAGGCGACGACCCTTTATAAAGCGTTAAAAATCGTCTTTGCATCAAGTACGAGGCGTATTCTTCTTGTTTTTAAGTTTCTCTTCTTGTGAAATTAGACATAGTCCGCTATGTTTGTTCGTTTGGATTCCGTTTTTTCTTATCATGTAAGGTGCATTTTCGAATTTTATAATTTTCAGCAGCACTCTTAAACTTTTTCGGCCTTGTCGAATATCTTCGAGTGCTCTAGCGACGTTTTCATCATTATAGTTCTTAAAATTAATACCGACTTTTTTTTATACTGTCTAATAATGGTGTCCGTCTTCACTTCTATAAAATGGCTTTTTACTAAAACACAATTATTTATGACAAAAAACAATATTTTCTCATATCATGGTGTCCGTCTTACTCAAAAACAATATTTTCTAATGAAATTGCCATGGGGTGTACTAATAATAGAGCGCATCAGAAAAATAACTCATTTTATTTTTTTGTTTTTAGTATTCTCTTGTACTTCTTTTGTAAATAGTACTAATAATAATATTTTTTTCTCAGGATGAAAATGGGCAACTAGTAGAACGACTCATAAAGTATAAGGCGAAAGATGCTGATAAAATGAACGAAGAAAACGACAACTTTTTAAAGTAAGTTTCCGCTGTTCACTAATTATTGATTTATTATAATAGAAGGTGTTGAGTGTTATATTCCTTATGTTAATATACAGGATGATTCAAAATTGGCCGTTTGTCTGGGGATGTTTCGGGGTACAGGAAAAATAGTTTTTTTTTAAATGAATAATACAGAAACTAGTCAGAGACACAGTCACAGAGGAAAATGACTAACTAACTGAGGAAAAAATTGATTTGTTTTGGCACTAAGATCTTAAAATTATTAAAGATCTAAGTTTTCTCCATCTGGTTTATTAGTTGTTTGACAGCTTAGTAAGCTCGAATGCTTTGGCACGATTAAGTCCCAGGAGGCTTTGAGTGAGATAGCATATCTTTTAATAATGGATGCAACTGTTTCGGCGTTGAGTTCACGATTCAGCGTATCAATTTCTAGAAGTTGCAGTTCAGTGCATACCCAGGCGCATTAATTATACAGGGTGATTCAAATCACGCAATAGACGGGGAAGAAGGAAAGAAAGAAGAAGAGGGCGACACCGAACAAATCACAGAAATTACAAGCGAACAACTCAGGAATACCACAGGGAAATAAAAACACAGCCCCAGGACCTGGACCTGATGGCATACCCAATGAGCTCCTAAAACATGGAAGCGAAATAATAATTGAAAATATTGCTGTACTTTTTCAGAAAATTGTTGATACCAAGCGAGTACAAAACCAATGGAAAACAAGCATTACAATACCAATATACCAAAAAGGAAACAAGAAGAATCCTAGCAACTACCGTACGATCACCTTGCTTAAAATTACGGTTTCGATGGTGCGATCGGCGATTGCTACTCGGTGCTGCGTTTGGCCGCATTTGAGCAAAATCTGTTGAAAAGATGAGCGTCGTCGAACTTTTAGCCCTTATTTTGTTAAAAGGGGATGAAAAGAAGAACAATTCCTTTAAAAAATCCTAATACAATTTACCCAGCATTTTTCCCACTTAGGGCAATTTTTCTTTATCCATTTTATTTTACGGCAAAATTTTTATAATTTTTATCTTCGTAATCATTAATTGGCGGGTACTTTCAGACTTTTTCAATTAAAATTTCATCCTCATTCGCTTAAAAACGGGCCCATTTTTTCATTTTCCCAAATTCCCTTTTTCCCGATTCAGTACAACACAGTAGTTGCTATTTTAGGGAAATAGTGTGGTTTCTTTAGAAGTTCTGAAAAAAATTGAAAACCCGAACTAATTAAATTAAAATTGTGTCTAAAAAGAAATTACCAAAATAAACACACTCACTTTGGGAAAGTAGGATGAACAGTCCAGTAAAAAATCTACATTTTATTCTTTAACGTGGATTTTTTTGTCATGAAAGAAACATCGACTAGTAGAAGAGAATGTAACACCGCAGCAGCAGGATTATAGTCGGCACGAGGTTACAAATGCTATACCAACACGTTACTGCGTTTCAACTCAAAAGAAACACACGAAAAACACCAAAAACTTTGCTTTTTTGCATACGTTTGTATGCATACGTAAGTATTGGACATAATTGCAGCAGATCCTTCCAGGGGTACTCAGAGCACATTAACTGACACTTTCCCAAGCACCAAATAAATACGAGGAAGGGCTACAATTCCTACCACGTATGTAAGATTATATATACAGCACAAGGACAGATTATACCATTGGATTATTGAACACTGGTACAAATTGAGCAGGAGTTAATTATCCAAATACGAGAAGCTGCTCGATAACCTTGGATAATAAGGAGATTACAGAGGCACTAACTTGTTTCGACTTCATGACTCAAATGTATTTTTACTTGTAAACATAAATTCGAGGTTATGCGGATATTTCGACGAACATCACAGTTGACATTTCGGAGTACGTTCCACTGTTAACAAATCCCGTTGAATTTACCGTTTATACTTGTCTATTTTATTGTCACTCTATATAATTCCATGGTTACCGGAGATTTTAATAATTACGAAGCAACAGGTATTTCCGTAATGTTAATTAGGCCGATTACCTTGAACACATTGTTGCCGTTTTTTCGATATAGTTTTTTTGCAAATTTCTCAGTTTCTAATAACAATTAATTTTTTAGCAACTTTTTCTGTACTCCTAAAACACCGCCGGACAACACCTCCAGAGGAATGACGCCAATTTTGAATCACCCTGTATGCACCACATGTGCACGTTTTGACAATTTGGCCCATCTACTACCATACTTGTCTTTGTTGAGTTTCTTGTGAAAGTGGGAAGAACAGTCCAGTAAAAAATCCACATTTCATTCTTGAACGTGGATTTTTTTGTCATGAAAGAAACATCGACTAGCAGAAGAAAATGCAACACCGCAGCAGCAGGATTATAGTCGGCAGGAGGTTACAAATGCTATTCCAACACGTTACTGCGTTTCAGATCAAAAGAAACATACGAAAAACACCAAAAACTATGTTTTTTCGCATACGTTTAAAGAGATTTGTAAATGTCTGATCACAGAAATTTTTGCGAAACGCACTAAATTTGCGAACTTGAACACATTAAACAGGGTGTTGTAAATATCTAATTCCCTTCTTATTACTTGGTTTAGAACATGATTTTGGTCCTTTATTGCTCGGCTTAAGATCGTCTTCTGGAAACATTTTTTACTTAACTCCTAACTGCTAAAACACTACCACAACGGAGTTTGTTCAATTTCATCAATTTTTTCAAAAATGTTCATAAAAAGCGAACTTTTGCGAATTAATTTTAAACGAACTGAAACGGGCATAATTCGATTTATGAGTGCTGAAGGTTTCGTTTGAGTATCATCATTAGGTAATTACCTAGAATTTTTGTGTTGGCATAATTTTTGCAAAAGTTGGCATAATGAGCTATCTTATTAAACTCTTAGACAAAGCAATTAACTATAACAATCCTTCTGACATGTGCTTCGTAGACCCAACTAAAGCCTTTGATCGCATCAAATTAGGAGATGGTAAAATTACTTAAAGAAGAAAACCAGCCCAGTAGTTTAGTAGTGATAATAAGAGACATCAACACAGGCAACAAAACTAAAATTAAAGTGGAGTATGAATTGACCTCGGAAGTAGACATATTCCAGACAGAATCTGGAATATGTCAAGAAGACTATTTTTATTAATGGACAAAATTGTATATATGCGCTTGGAAGAAAACAGATAAAAAAAATCTTTGTTATGCGGACGACGCAATTCTGATCTCGGATAATGAAGATAACCTACAGCGCTAGCTGCAAACCTTTAACAACGAAGCGAGAGCTGAAACAGCAAAAACAAAAACAATACTCAGAACAATAGAACTGAACAATAAAACATTAAGATCAATAACGGGCAAAACATTGAGAAAATGAGAGAATTGATGGATTGCAGAGCCACCTGTCAAAATCGAAGAAAATGGTTTAGATAAATTATTCTCACTTTTCGACGAACTATTCGAATCTGTAATAAAATGTTGCGGTTGCCATTTGAAATACTTACGTTGGTCCCTGCCTAGCCTACAAGCTTGAAGTAGGCGTTGTTCTCTGGCGGTGTTTTAGAAGTGCAGAAAAATTTGTAAAAAAATAATAATTATTAAAAACTGAGAAATTTGCAAAAAACTATATTAGGAATACGGCAACAATGTTTTTCAAGGTAATCTGCCTAATTAACATCACATAAATACCTGTTGCTTTGTAATTATTTAAAACTCCGGTAACCATGGATAAATAGAGAGTGACAATAAGATAGACAAGGATAAACGGTAAATTCAACAGGAATCGTTGAATGACGGAACCTATTTCGAAAGTCATAACCTCGAATTATTGGAAAAACTCGAAAAACATACATTTGAGTCTGTAACTCTAAACAAGTGCCTGTGTAATCATCTTATTATGCACTCTTGTCAAGCATCTTCTCGTATTCGGTTAATTAACTCCTGCTCAATTTACACCGGTGCTCAGTAATCCATTGGTTTAATGTGATCTTACGTACGTGGTAGGAATGCAGCCGGTATTTATTTGGTGCCTGGGAAAGTGTCAGTGGTTGTGCAATGTTCTGAGTGCCTCTGAAAGGCTCTTCTGCAATTATGTCCAATACTTGTTCCTCTGTGTCTGGAACCCAAACATCGATTGTCGTCCACTATCTTCCTGGAACCACTCTACTCACCCTTTGTTGCACATAACAGCATCTCTTATCAGTCTTTTCCGTCCTCTCATCATTTTCCATTCCAAAAAATGTCCATGTCCTTTTCAAGCTGTGAAATAAAATAAGCAAAAATTGCACATAACAAAACAAAGGTGAACATGAAAACATCTAAATTTAACGCACATGTACGGGTTATACCGCGTTAAATAATATTGTTCTTATGTAAACTTGCTTCAAAATGATCCTCACAAATATCGATGTTACTTTTTGCAGAAACATCTGTGCAGTTCCGCCGAGCTGCTTTCAACTACAATTTCCGTTTCTTTTCGTTTAATGGCACTTTTATAAATGTTTTTCCTGGTGTGGACATAGTGGTACTTGTGCATTGTGGCGCCATAAAGTATCGATAAACCATTTTATTTTCAATAATTGAGAAACAAGAAAAGCGAAGGTCGAAATTCTCACTAGAGCACGACAACACGGATAAGCGCCGAACGAGGCGGAGCTGAAACATAGATGTCACAAAACGCGTAGACAACAATGCGTCGACTCGGTGCGCTTTGTGTGCGATAAATGCATTATAAGCGATGTCATTAATCAATTTTACCAAATAAGTAAAATGTGCAACGACCATATGGAAACTGTTTTCAGGAGGTTTTTCAGCTACGGAAATTCTTAGGAATTTGCAATATAATAAGTACGTTATCAATGATGTTTTTTGTAAAACTTGTTTTATAAGAACTTTCACCCTCAATGCATTTTCTACCCAACAGTAGACTGTAATGCAAAATAAATGTTAGCGTGTCTAACAATAATTCTGTTTATCGGTTTTGCGATCTAGTTGATAAATTTTTCTATGTTCTAGAAAAAGATATGCAAAGATGCAGAAAGATTTAGAGGAAGCATGTCGTGATGCTAGTCGAGTGTGTTCAGACGACCTTCAGGAAGGCTTTGGACCTCTAATGCAGTCAACCTTGCCAACAAAAGTGGCGGTTAAATTTGTAAGTAATCGACTTTGGTTTAAACATTTCCGAATTCCAGTTTTTAGAAATAATTTTATTGGATACTTTAACGAGTATGTATTGAAATATTCGCAGTAAATAACATTTAGATGTTGAGATTTTAGCTTTTTATTAGAATTTAAATTTACTTGTTTCTACTTCGAAATCTTTTATTTTGCGTTTCATGAATACTGCGACTACAAGTGGAGCCATCTATAAAGTACTACAGCAAACATTTATTAGACATATTAATAGCGCTAGTTATACAGTGAATTAAATCAATTTGTTCAGATTGAAAGCAAACATAAGTAATTTTCGAAACTGCATTTAACTTAACTTGTTGTTATGCAACAATTGGGGGAAGTTCCGATACAAACGTCAGAGGTGCTGCTCTGTTGGAGTATAGCTTTACTGAAAACTTTACTTAAACTAGTGTTGGAGCCGACGCTTGTCAATCGAGTCCGACAGGAAGTCATTGACATAACGCTGGCAACCTGCCATCTGATTCCAAAGGTGATAAACTGGAGAGTGTCGGCAAACATTTCGATGTCAGACCACCGCATGATCCGACTTGAAATTGAGTCGGATCAGCTAGACCTAAAAACCCCGAGGAGGACTGTTTGGTCCCAATTCAGGGACCATTTAAACCAATCCATGGGTCTCTCTGAAGGTAACATAACCTCCAGAGAGCATTTAGAACGGGAGATAAGAAGACTCAATGAGGACATTACATCAGCGTTCCAGATATCGTGCCAACCCAGGGCGGTTGGAACCTCAAAGGTTCCGTGGTTGAGTAAGGGCTTCAACGCCTGAGACAGGAAGCTAGGAGGGCCTTTCACCGAGTCACAAAGGGAAACTACGATGAAAACTGTTACCTCTACCGCAAAGCCAAAGAGAGAGACGGAAGGGTGTAGACAAGCCAAAGATTTGAAATGCCAGGCGAGGCCAAGGCAACGTCCAAATGGCTGATGTCAAGAAGTCGCTGGGCCCTGATAACTCTGGTTGGGGTCATGACAGGACACTACGGTCTGAACAGCCACCTACACAGACTTGGAGTCGGTGATAGCCCCTTATGTCCACAATGTGGAACGGCGGAGGAAACACCGTATCACCTTCTAGGAGTACGCCACCACTGGTCGTCCATGAGGAGGCGCCTCCTTGGGGCCTCCACACTCTCCTGCACGGAACTGTCTTTCATAGAGTGGAGACGGATCCTCGCCTTCGTCAGGGAGACGAGACGCCTGGGTGGTGAAGAGGAGGGGTAGTAAGGCGGGGGTGGATGCAGGGGGAATGGTGAACAGGGCCTTATCGGCCTACTCGTCGGACCCATTCGGGTTCCCCCCCACAGTACTACTACTTCTATATAAAAATGGTACCATGATGGTAAAGCTGCATGAAAATATCGACTCCATAAGAATCGGTAGAGGAGTACAAGAGGGTGATACTATGCCACCTGTTTGTCACTGTTCAGGAATACGCCTTCGGGATGCTGGAATGCAGAGGAAAGATTTTAAATATGGATGGTCTAAACCTAACAAGTCTGCGTCTTTCGCGGATGATATAATTTTGCTGTCCGACAACCTACAAGCTTTCAGGGAAATGCTTTAACACCTTTAGGAAGTATGTATTCAGGTCGGGCTAAAAATTAATATATTGAAAACAGAATTTATGACGATTATGGTCCCTAGTGGAAATATTCCTACTGGTGTCTGTCAGGTGGAGCTGGTGGATAAGTACACATATCTTGGTCATGAAATACAAATCTCGAGAGAATGAGAACGAAACATGCGAATTAGAGAGAATAATTATACTCGCTTGGGCTACGTATGGCAGACTTGGAGCTGTGTTTAAAAGTGATCTGCCAATTTATTAAAAAAAAAAGTTTTTAAGCCCTGCATTCCACCGGTTATGGCCTACGGCGCTGAAATTTTAAATTTGACATTCAAATCTGATAAGAATCGCAGAACAGCGCAATGCAAGATCTAAAGATCGATGCTCAGTGTGTCACTTTGTGACCACGTCAGAAATGAGGACTTACAAGCGAGAACAGGAGTCACGGATGTCATATACCAGGTGCAATTTTAGCCGAACATGGCATGCACCCCTATAAATATAAACTTCTTCAATATCTTCATAGTCTTCATCCCAGTGGTTCACCACAACGTGAAGAGTTGTGTAAAATGATTTTATTACGAACGCAAGAAGATTCCGCATTTTTACGTAAAATTATATGGATCTACAAATCAAAATTTACAAAGGGAGGTATTTTGATAGACATAATTCTCATTTCTGAGCTACTGAGAATCCTCATATCGCGCGAGAAATGAATTTTCAAAACCGATCCAGTGTAATTGAATGAAATTTTGATGAGATGTTTGATAATAGTAGGATTCGGTGCCTTCGAGCGTGGAATTGGCCGCCAAAGATTACAGACTTAACACCATTAGATTTCTACCTTTGGGGAACAATAAAGCAAGGAAATTACTGTACTCCCGTCGATTCAGTGGGATAACTAGTAGCCTGAATAAGAAGAACTTTGATCAACTTGATGCAGCTGAAGTAGCAAGTGCTGCTACAGAAGCCGTTGTGTAACGTTCCAAAACGGTTCACATTCAAAAGTGTTTAAGAGTCAATGGGGGTCATATTGATTTATATTAAATTAAATTGTGCCGCCGCAATTTTGTAAAAAACGTTGCCACAATTAAAACAAAATGGTAAATATCAGACTATGAAGGCTTTCTCGACCGGTCAAATCACATTTGGAAATGTTTTCCGGGCTTTAAAGCCGTGGTCCATAGGAATTTCTTTTTTACGTTTCGTCCACAACTGCGGTGGACATTATCAAAGGCGATAAGGCAGTGGGCGAAGTGAACTCCCGTGCTTTCCGACTAAGACTGGTTCAACTACTGAATCCCCTGTCGTATTTATGCGGTCGGAATTTTCCAGCCTAAAGTAGGAAAAACTGACAGTTTTATAAAGGACTTATCGAGTTTTGTTCAGAGGTTGCACTCGTTGTCAATAGCTCCCGGAGAAGTCCTTGTGAATTTTGATGTTTTTTCGTTGTATGATACCAATTAAGGAGGCAATGGAACTTATTGAGAGAGAATTTCCACCAGGCATCGCCAAACTCTTCGAACACTGCTTAACCATAACGTACTTTCAGTGGAAAAACGAATTCTATGAACAGACGGATGGAGTAGAAATGGTCCTTTAGTCCGGTGATAGCCAACTACTTTATGAAAAAATTAAAGATGATCGTTCTGGACACAGCCGCGAGGAAATCTAAGTGTTGGTTTCGATATGTTGATGACACTTTTGTTGTTTGAGGTCATGGTTTGGTTGAACTTAAAGACTTGCTGAGGCACCTCAACTCAATAAACCCATAAATACAGTTCACTATGGAAGTAGAGAAGGATGGGCGACTGCTATTTTTAGATGTCTTGGTAACCAGAAACACCAACGGGAAGCTGGCCCACACGGTGTACAGAAAACCGACACATACCGACCGGTACCTGCACAGTGGATCAAACCATCATCCCAGTCAAACGAGAGGAGTCATTAAACCCTCACCGAAAAAGCCAGAAGAATTTGCGAACCAGCTGAGCTAGAAAGAGAATTGAAATATCTAGAAAGGGCATTTGGTTGGAATGGATACAGCAAGAACGAGGTCATTAGAGCAATTCGACCAAGAAACAGTGAAGGTCGTTCTGAGAAAACAGTCGAACAATCCAACAGACTTTGAGGTCGGCCAAGGACAAACGGGATCCTTTATTAGCACCAGGAGTCTACAGAGTTCCATGCAGTTGTGGCAGAGCATATATCGGCACCACAAAACGTAGTGGAGACATGAGGATCACTGAGCATAAAAGAAGTTGCCGATTAGGACAAACAGAAAAATCAGCAGTAGCGGAGCACGCACTTCTAGACGGCACCAAATACGTTTCGATAAAGTGGACCTTTTGCACCAATCTCAACGGTATTACCCGAGACTAACCAGAGAGGCCATTGAGATATTTAAACATGACGACAATTTTAATAGGAAAGAAGAGGTAACGGCCTTTAATCCAGATTGGAAACGCCTTTTGCGGCAAACAGCGTGTCCGCTAAAACAATTAATCCCCTCCCACTCCCCACGCATGAGCACACATGGCCGGGCTGCATAAATACGACAGGGGATCCAGTAGTTGAACCAGTCTTAGTCGGAAAGCACGAGAGATCACTTCGCCCACTGACTCAACGCCTTTAATAATGTTCACCGCAGTTGTGGGTGAACCGCCAGGAAGAAATTGCCATGGACCACGGCGTTTAAGTAAATAAGTTTAAAACTATTGGAGTTAGGTATAGGGACCATGCGCGGACAGACAGGAAATGTTCTAGCCTATCAATTGAATGAATCAGCAACAGATCATCGTATTCAAAATAATGACTTTTTCAAGTTTTTTTGACAGCAAATAAAAATTGTTATTTTAAATTAATTTAAATAATAAGATATTTCGAATATGCGACGCAGACTAGAAGCTGTCAGAGCCGCTAAATGTGGAAACTCGAAATACTAACGTTTAAATTTTTTTATGTTAAATATTTTGTTTGATGTGTTGTTGTTTTCTTACGTTTTAGCTTGATACAGAAAACTTAATGTTAGAAAAACAGAATTAGTATAAATGCTGTCAAAAAAATACATTAATAGGTGATTTAAAAAATGTTCATCAAAAGATACAATTTCAAAATGAAGAACATTTTGGTTCAAGAACACGGTGTTTAAAAAAATTGTGCAAAATGTGGCTCGATATTATTTCCATTATTTGCCATGGAAAATGAACAATCGACATTACCAAAAGTAGGTTAACCTTCAACTTCTGTACTGTAATTAAAAGTGATAAAACTTTGAGCTTTACTCATGTATTTATTTGACTATTAGCTGCAAAATAGGGTCTTTTCACTTGTTTTTTAATGTTGATATATAGAAAGTAGTTATGACAAACATTACACTGATATAATTTTTTTTGCAAAAAAACTCCATAATAATTTTAAAGCGAATTTAAATTCAAATCAGATATTTTCCGCCAAAAACGCCGAATCCGTATCGTCGGTTGCCTATCCCGATTGTGACGTAGCAGGTCATATCAACAAAGTGTCTCGTGTTTATTTTATTGTTTTCGCAGTTTTGTTTTATTATTTAAGTTATTGTGGTTATCATTATTTTATTGATTATGGTTATTATCGTGCATAATGGAAAATAGTGACATGTATGGATCACAAAATAAGTGGTGTTTTGTGCCAGGATGCAAGAATACCTCAATAAGTGCTCCAAACAAACTCTTTCTAACCGTTCCTGATGATTATGCTTGCGCTGCTGCATTAAATTCAGCTGAATTAAAGCGTTCGTTGTTCTTTAAAAATTCGGTAACCATAAAAATATGTACACATGGTAAATTGTTTGTTGACGCTTTAAGGAATCGTTCTGAAGCTATTTTTTAGCTTAACACAAACTATAAATTATTTAAAGCCACTAAATAGTTAATGAAACACAACCACACAACTAAACACAATGCACAGAACGTAAACAATTCTCCATTTATATGACCAGAGACGTCACAACCAACAGGATTGCGTTTTAGAGATTCATGAATAATTTGAATTTTAGCTGAATTTATTTATTAAATATTTAACAAAATAGCAATATATAGATAGTATAAATTTATTTAATCTTTCATATATTTATTATTTCTATTAGCATAGATTAATGTTCGGTTTGTAGGAATTTTTGATACGATGAAAACACCCTATTACACGAAAGTACTAATATGCTTGTATAAGAAATGTGCCGTGGTGCCCCAGAAACAATAAGGAAAATCGTTATTTTTTAGTATATTTTAAATTTGAGTTGACTTATCTTAATTCAGTGAAATGTTATAGGACGCGCACGATGGCGAAGTGAATGCTGTAAAATGGAGCCCCGTAGACAGATTAGTGGCGACCGGTGGTGCTGATAGGAAAGTGAAGCTGTGGGATATTTCAAAAGGTCAGTCTAAATCAGAATGACATACATCATTGAAAAGAACTTGGAACGATCGTCTAATGCTTACATTTCTGAATTGAAATCGCTTGCTGCAACTTAATGTAAATCGTTTTCACTTTAAGTAATAAACGTAAAATATTTAATTTATCACCAGTTGTGCTTATTTGATTGCGTTATGCGGGATCCCCGAAAGAAACTACCTATTCTGATATATGGGGTATAAGTCAGTTCGGTTTTCTTCATATTAATATCTGCTAGGCCCTTTGGAATCATCATTATGATATTAATCGATAGACGCCTGTACATTTTCAAAAAACGACATTTAAAAAAAAAACTAGTCATTGTCAAATTGTCATTAGGTCTGACACGATTTAGGCCCGGTTCCACCATCTCCGATTAAAATATTAATCATTGATTAAAACTATTTAATCAACACTTAGCGTTCCACCATAATTTTAACCACGATTATGGACTTTTTGTTTTATGGCGATGTTTTATCACCGTCTGATGAGGATAGTGACATTCAGGTTGTTAGAAGACCCCGAATATTTAATCCGATAGTCAATTATTTGAAATCATGGACACCTTGAGTTTTTTTACGCTATTTCGCTTATCGAAAAAAACTGTCCAAAGATTACTGCTGGAAAAAGAAACAGACCTGCAACACACTACAGAAAGTTATGATAAATGAATAATAGTAAAATTGCCACTATTCAACCATGACACAACTTTTACTTGTGTTGAGGTTTTATGCCACTGGATCGCATGTTATTGCTGCTGGATACTTTTTTGGAGTAAGAAAAACTAGTCCGCATCGAATTGTACATCGAATAACTGCTGCAATAGCCACATTAGCTCGAAATGATATTAAACTTCCATCTACAAAAAGGGAAATAAGTGCAGCACAAATAATTTTTTATGCATTAGCTCGTTTTCCCGAACTTATCTCAGTGTTGGATTGTACTCATATTAAAGTACAATCCTTTGGGGGAGAAAACGCAGAAGTATTTCGTAATAGAAAAGGATATTTCTCTATCAATGTTCAAACGACATGTGATGACTGTTTTGAGGGAAAATGATTTCAGTTGATCTGTCAGTTGTTTGAACCAATCAGAACCGTGAATTCAAAGGAAATACGATCTTACTCGATGAGACTGATGATTATCTAACCGGTGTTGTTGTGGAATATATAATTATAATAAATTTATAATGCTTGTTGTGGAACGCATGCCAATTTAATCATGGTTAAAGTGGTGGTTAAAAATAATTGTGATTAGTTAACCAATAATTTAATGACTCTTGGTGAAACCGGGTCTTAATGTTTAATCCATGCGGATTAACACTAGGTAGTTCAACAAGTTTGTACGTAAAAACTTACATAAGAAGCAGACAATAGCAACGCAATTTGGAAACACTTGGAAATTGTTTTTGAGCCATTAAAATGGGCATTATCGGGAACTTGTACATCTTAGACAAATTACGTGCTTGCAGCTATTGTACGGAATGTTGTAATATTGTCCAACATCTACGATTTTCGTAAATCGTTTACATTTTAAATTTTGGAGATAGTATATTTTGTGCGTAGGAGTAAAAGCCTAATATTTTCGGACGGTTTCGAGAAACACTGGATTCGAGAATATACCTTTACTCCGAAGTACACATGCAAGTCTAAAAAAGACTTTCTGAAATGTCTTATACAGGGTGTCCCAACGGGTACCGCCTCGATCGATATCTGGCAAACTACAATTAGGTCTAATTTGAAAATTGAACAGTGTCGAAGTCATTGGAGGCAAGCGATCTAAAATATTTTCAAGATCGCCACACTTCCGGTTATACCGGAAGTAGGTATCAGCTTGCTTATTGTAATTGGAACACCCTATATATTATTACATTTTTAATTCTACTCCAAATTCTAAATATATTTCATACATAATGTCATATATCTAAGTCTAAGTGTTTTTAATATATTTGAAATTTTACGTAAAAAATTACAGTTTTAGCCACTCGAATAATTATTCATATTTCGTAAGAGGGAATATGTGTTATACTTAATTTAAATCGCATTTCTTGCCGGAAACGGACTTACTTTAATGGAATTATTTCGACAAAATTTTGGTAACTATTAATATAAAGTCTTAAAAAAGTAAGTTCCAACATGACGTTGAGAAAATCGCTCTAAATCAATTCTTATAAATGGATACCCCTATTTTTGATAATTTTATCTTATTCAGTATTAAAATAAGGGTTAGTTTGTCTAAAGTTGTCTATTCCAAAATTGTTTAGTTTTCGAAATATTGTCAATTTAATGTTTTCATATGGTTATTTTGCTTCATCTTGTTTTAAATCCTGTCACTCTTAGTTGCCATGACGAAAGTGGCCATTTTTAATACAATCAGGTGCTAAAATAATGTTGACAGCTGTGGGCTACCTTTTGAAAATAATTAATAGTCATGACCGGAATCTATTATTTATGGAGAATGTGATAAAGTCATATAAGGAACCGTTTATGTATTATTAATCATTATTATATCAAGTTCCAAAAACTGTTTTTTTAAACCTAGAGTTCTCTACTTTTTATGGTTGCCCCTATAAATTGAACATGCACTGTT